CACCCCCTCAGCTGGCTGTCTCAGAGCGAGAGCTTGAACGTTGTGCGTGCATGTGTCAAGTATTTTAAAGGGCGGAATTAACTTTTCCTGAGCTTTTGATCGGCGACCTATAGCACAGACCCCCTCCCTCCCACCCCTCAGCTTCCCTTCTCCAAATATCCCTGACCCCGCGCCCTTTCCGTCATTGTTCAGCCTATTAATTTTGTTTTAATTAACTTTTACAAAAACTGCGTTTGAAGAAGAGTTATAAAATAAAAAAGCAATTAAACTTCAAAAAATGTTTGAAGCTTTGCTGGCATTTATTAAGGAGTCATCGTGGAAAGCGCTCGGCGGAGGGAGATGCGACGTAAATATTTAATGCGCCGACCTGACCGTCTGAGCCCCCCCACCCCCTCACAATCCTCCTTGCGATCCACCTAAAGCTCGAGACGATGAGAGAGGAGAGAGGATGCATTTGCGAAATTAGTGCCACACGCCGAGTTCCTGAAGGTGGCATTTCACGGTTAGCGGTGTTTTTTGCGGCCGATGTGATAAATTCTTTTGACACGTGGAGCGGTGTAAGTTGGGAAATTGCGCGCGTGTGTGTGTGACGTGTGCCGCAGAGCGCACCTCGCCTTGCACAAGAGTCGTGGTGACGTCGCTGCAACTCGGTGACGAACGGCGGTTGTTGCTGTGCACGTGTGACTGTGTGACTGTGTTTTTATGTGGGGAGCGGTAGTGTGGTGGTTTGCGCGCCGCGCTACGAGCAAAGTCGACCCAAGTTTTCGATTCCCGCTCATTGCCAACGAACATCGCTGGCGAGTGATATCCAAACCGGTTTCGGACCTCGCCTAGGTCAACTCGGCCATAAATAAGTATCTGGCGCGGTATGCGTCGTCATCGTCGTCGGTAATGGTGGCAAGACAATAGCCGGCCGGCCGCAGTGCTGAGCGCACGGCTCCCTAGCGCGACGGTGCCAGCGTTCCATGGGTGCTCGATCACAGCAATGGCTTGCGGCCGTCTCTGTGCGCTCTCCGGCGGGGGATCTTTGTGCCCTGTGCGTGCCTTGTGCGTGCCCTGTGTGTGTGTGCCCTGTGCGTGCCCTGTGCGTGTGTGTGCCCTGTGTGTGCCCTGTGCGTGCCTTGTGCGTGCCCTGTGTGTGTGTGTCCTGTGTGTGCCCTGTGCGTGTCCTGTGCGTGCCCTGTGCGTGCCCTGTGCGTACCCTGTGTGTGTGTCCTGTGTGTGTGTGTGTCCTGTGCGTGCCCTGTGTGTGTCCTGTGCGTGCCCTGTGTGTGTCCTGTGCGTGCCCTGTGTGTGTCCTGTGCGTGCCCTGTGTGTGTCCTCTGCGTGCCCTGTGTGTGCCCTGTGCGTGCCCTGTGTGTGCGTGCGTGCTGGAGTGCATCTACAGAACAGCCGTGGCAGCACTAAAGCACCCACGTCATTGCCTGCCTGCGTGGCTAATGAGCTCGTGTGTGTGGGGTGGCGGGGGGGTAGACGGCAAGTCGACGCGCGTGGACGTGCGATGCACGCGGGGGGGGGGCTGTTTTGTTCCTGGTGTCCGGCACCCTAAGCAGGGCTAGGCAATGGCGGATAAATAGCAGCGGAGGTTACATGGGAATGTAAATGTAAGAGTCGCGCGTGCAAACTCGAACAACACCGCAACAGAGTATGGGGGTGGGGGGGACGAATAACACAAGTGGTTACAAAATTACACGAATAGTTGGATAAATAATAACACGCGGCTTGCTGGGCGCCCTGGAGCTTCAACACACCTGCCGGTCACCATCTCATCATCATCATCACCGCCACCATCACCGCGGGAAGGGCTGGGGCGCGTTACTCCTTCCACGATGCCCCCCCCCCCCACCTGCTGCGGGCACGGGAAGCGGGGATTGGGAGCGTGCCATTGTGCGCAGGGAGGGTCCTCCCGCCACGCCCCCCTAATTAGGGGCTTCCGTGCTCCCAAGGAACGCCTAATTGGGCCGGGTAGGAGTATAATGGCCACGTCCAGACACCCTTAATTGGTCTCCAGTGGCTTTTAGGGCCCATCGCAGAGTGCATCGATGTCGCTGACCTGCCTTGGCTCGCGCGGGGGCAAGGAGGCCGCACGTGACGGGACTGGGATTGGCGGTGGCGGTGGAGCGATTCTCCCCCTTGCACTTGACCACTGCGCTGTGACCCCGGTCAACCCCCTCGGGGTTCTCCACGCCCCTCCCCCGCATCGGAGCTCAGCTGCCGTGCGATGAGGCCACTCGCGCCGCGGTTTCGTTTCGGCAGCAGGGAGGCCGAGTCGCTGCCACGGCCGCCGATTGAAGCTCGTCCCGTAACGAGCCGCCGGTGCCGGCAGGACGCCGCCACCGCTTCCGGCAGCTGCACCGCGTTTCACTCAGCGCCGTCTGCCGTGCGGCTTCCTAGCAGCAGCCGGCGGGGGGGTGGGGGGCTTGCGGGGGGGAGGGGGGCGGCGGGGGACCTTTTGTGCTGCACCGTTGATTCGTTCCATAGTCCAGAGAGTTCCAGAGAGTTCCACAGTCCAGAGAGTTCCACAGTCCAGAGACATCCACAGACTTCCATAGTCCAGAGAGTTCCACATTCCAGGTCTGTTTGTGAGTCTGTTTGGCTTCATGTTGGGGGGAAACTGGAAGACCCGGAGAAAACTCAGCACACACAACAGCCGGTGGGCGACCGAGATCCACGGAGATCGATTCCAGTTAAGCCGCTGTACTGCCACCTTCTGGCCACCACCTGGCAGTCCAGCAGATTTGGGTAGTTTCACAGATCTCTGTGTGATCCACCAACCTCCCCCCCCAAGGTGGCGAGGATCAGTCGTGCACCGCCGCACCCGGTGGGGGAATTATGTTTTAGTAAAATAATTAATTTTAGAACCACGCTGGGGATCGCTATTCACCAGGCGACAACGCATTGAGAGATGGTTGCATTGCTGAGCAGGCGAGAGGCTCTGCCAACTGTTGTGTGATGGTCGCCGGTTCGACTCCATATCCTGGCACGGCGGTTGAAACAACGGTGCAGGTTCCCTTCGTCACCCCTCCACGTCCCCCACCCGCCGTCTCCGTCCATCCAGCAGTGGGAGTGAGTTCACCCTCGTCTGTCGATCGGCAGCTCGCGCGTGGCGGGGTGAAGTGTGGGCACCTCCACCTCTTCCAAGAAGTCTGGCCCGGCCTGGAAGAGTAGACCAAGTAACCGCCGGAGGCACTCTCAGCAGCGACGTTGGCCAGCAATTGCAGATTTGCACCTTTACCTTTTAACAAGCGAGAGCTTGGAGATAGCAAACGTCCGTCGGCTGTCGCCGTGGTTATGTAAAAGACAACCGTTAACACCAATTAAGGAAATCGCGAAAATGGATACTGGCGGTGCGGTCCCCTGGGTCATTGCCACCGTCGCGTGGAGCGGTTTGACGCGCGACCTTTCCTGTCACTGCCGATTTACGCCGAGGAGTGCGATGATGCCCTAATGATGCCCTAATCCCCAACAACAACAACAACAGCAGTAGTCACCATTCGCCACGAAGTGGCACTGACGTCACCCCAGCGCTAGTTCCAAGCTAAATGCACGTTGAGGCCACGTGAAGTCTCAAAGGCGCGCTGGCAGGAGGCAGACTCCGGGTGCTCTGGGTTGACTGACTGAGATGACTCGCAGATGCACAGACCTGCGCTCCCCACCGTACCAACTTTCTGCGTTTTAGCCGCACGACGCTCTGCTTGTTGTCAGCGTTGCTCTTTGACCCTCCGCTGCTGCTGGAGGGCGACTGCCTCCAACTGCCGAGTAGCGTCCTTCACGAGCCTTCTCCATTGAGGCCGATCTTGACACTGCTGGTACCAGTCTTCGGCAAGCCCGCTCAGCCCCACACCCTTCTTTACTGCATCAGTCCATCTTTTTTCTAGCCCATGCGAGACCCATTAAGCCCCCTCTAACCAGTCATATATCCAGAAAGGCCAGCCTGAATGTTTAAAGCCGGTCCAGATATTATTTTAAAGGGCTCCACGTTTCGCAAGCAAAGAGAAGGGAGGGCATAGCGGTGGCCAAGAAGACCCGGGGAGCTTCGCGTGGAGTGGTTGGCCTGGTAGTTTCCACACGGCGCTATGGAAATGGATGAAAAGTTAATACCACTGGATTGATTTGGAGTGAGATCTCCACTGCCACAAACACAAAGAGAAGTATCCCATGTTATAAAGACTTCTTTAATTCTGTAAGTGGGTACCTGCGAAGGCTGTCACGGCGCACGGCGGGCTGGTCTGGACGGCACGTGCGCCTGCACATACCTACGTGTGTGTGCATGTGTAGTGGGGAACGGTAGTGTAGTGGTTAGCGCACTGCGCTACGAACCCGTGATGATTACCTGAACCGGTTCTGGGCCTCCCCTAGGTATGTAAACATCGCCACTGGGGAGACAAAGGCGGTCGGGCGTGGTGCTGGCCACCCAACCCCCTTATGTGCCGTGCTGGCCATCATAGGTGCTACTCGCTAACAGAAATTGCCCCAACAATCTGTTAAGGCTACACGGGGGATCTTTGTCTTTGAATCGTGGGGCGGTGACACTGCGGTTCGAAGCCATCGGTCACCCTGGTTAATACCGCCGTGTGTATTAGCCGTAGCAATGCTACGACTACGTGCTGTCTGCTACAAAGTATTCATTAAAGATCCATCCCTGACTTTATTCGCAAGAGTAGGCCATTTTGTGCTGGCGGCATGGTCCTAATTTATGCCAAATGTGAAAAATAACTCGCAAATTACATCGTTGAAAAATGCGTAGCAGTTGTCACCTACGACTGCAAAAAACTTGAGGCTTTCCTGGTAAACAAGCGTCATCGTAATAATAATAATATAACGCGTGTGCGGGTGTCACGGAGAATGATAGGCTCGGCCACCCTGGTAACCAACATCTCGGGCTATTCTGTGGCTCCGTCACTGAGCAGCAACCGTGCCTCGTGACGAGCCGCGCGCACGGTCGCTTCCAGCGCGATCGCTAATTTTGAGTGACCGTGCGTGCGTGCGTGTGTGCGCAGTTGACATGGAGAGCTTCAGCTCCAAAAGCCTGGCCGTGCAGGCCCAGAAGAAGCTGCTGGGGAAGATGGCGACGCGCTCGGTGGCGGGCTTCCTCATCGACGACGCGGCGAGCGACGTACTCGACGAGCTGTACCGCGCGCGCAAGGCCTTCTCGCACGACCGCAAGACCTCGCAGAAGGCAGTCAAGGACCTGGTGAAGGTGGCCGTGAAGCTCGCCGTGCTGGCGCGCAACGGCCAGTTCTCGACGGACGAGCTGGCGACGGCGGAGCGCTTCAAGCGCAAGCTGAACCAGGCGACGCTCACGGCCGTCAGCTTCCACGAGGTGGAGTTCACCTTCGACCGCGACGTCCTGGCGCGCACGCTCGACGATTGCCGCGAGATGCTGCACCGCCTCATCGGCCACCACCTCACGGAGAAGTCGCACGCACGCGTCGACAACGTCTTTCGCAGCTTCGGGGACGGCGAGTTCCTGGCGGCGCTCTACGGCACCGAGCCGGCCTTCCAGCAGCACCTCGCCAAAATATGCCAGGGCCTCAACAAGCTGATGGAGGACGGAAACATTTAGTCGCCGGGCGCCGGCCAGGGGACCGGTTGTGCCGGCGATACGATTCGAAGCCCTGATGCAGGCAGCGCGAGCAGAAGAAAAAAAATAGTTGTCGTTGAGAGAGAGAAAAACGCCGTTCGCGAAAAGCATTTTGAAATGTTAAATTGAACTTTGGCGATTGTGGTCGTTGTGTCTCTGTGGTTGAAGAAATGATGGAAAATGAAAGTTGACTCTCCCGGTTAAGCAAAAACACGCATTTTTGTGGGATTTGCACTCCTGGAAGGGTTCAGGCATCGTTTCGAGGGGAGTGGGAGCGTTGGGTACTTGATGAAAGTTGGGCACGCGGGGTTTGGTCAAACCCAAATGTTGTGAGTAACCTCATTCCAAAGCCATTTTTGTATCGTATGAGTCGTGTTCAAGTGACTTTGGGATCACGTGCTGCCGTGGTTTGCGTGGCACACAGGCTCACAGTGCGAGCAGTCATTGCGGGGGGGGGGGTCTGTCAGCACCAGGGGGCCTGGGGTTTGTCACCTTTATACAATTCCTGGGATTCCACCGAGGAGCCCACGGGCCTGACAGAGACAAACAGAACAGACAGGGAATCTTTGCTCGCCCAACGACGTTTTGCTCGGAAACTATTGCGGTACAATCTGTCCTCGACAAGACCCTTCCCCTAGCTGAGAACGCCCTCCCGCGGAGAGATCCTGCACAGCCGCATTTTGCACGCTTGTCGAGTCTGGAGGGAGGCTCTGTGTTGGGCTTTTTTTATTATACGAGAGCCGCTGACTCTCTTAAGTTGTTTATTTTTCGGAGCCGTGTCCCGACCCGGGAGCGAGATGCAATTCGGACGTGTCGCACGCCCCACCAAGCTGTCGGGGGTACAGGAGCTCAGGTGTGCACACGCTTGTACATATCTCTGCGGGGCAAAGCGTCCCTTAGCCCGCCGTGAGTTCGGCTGCTTAAACGTCCGTGGTACAGTTTAACGAGAAAAAAAACGCGTAACAAAAATACAACTCTTGTTACAGACATTTATAGACTCTTGGCAGCACAGGCAGACCGCTGAGGAATTCCTGCATTCATTGGTCCATTCCATGACGTGCCCGGGCAGATCCCTCGCAAGGACTTTTTTATGAGCGCAGTGCAACCAAACTTGTACCTCGCACGGAGACGCCACCCTGGTGTTGCGGCGTCACACGTCGGTGTTTCGCCAGATGTGCGTGCGTCCCCTTCACCCCCTTCTCCACTGGCACATCTGTGCCGATCCAGCGCCGGGCCCCAACGGTACGGGCGGTTTCCCCACCGGCGATCGGCCCGGCCAAGCCAGAACCACACCGTGGCACTTGCCTGCCGCACAAGCTGCCAGCGTCCTGGTCAATCAAACTCGTTGTTGCGTGTCAAGTCAGTGGGTACATTATTCCATCGCTATTCGCGAGGGATACGTTCCGGAGATGCTTGTGAATAAAACATTTCGCGGATAATGATACTGGCCTACTGAATGTCGTACGTGCAACGTCTGCAGATGCTTCTGAGGCTTCGAGAAGTTATCTCTGTCTCTCTCAGCTCTTTGTCGCATTGTTTTCTCTACCATCACTTTATCTCATTACATTATCTGGCATCACTTCCTCTCTCAGTGCAGTCGTCGTCCGATTCGTGGATAGCCAAAATCACAGATGGCCAAGTTCGTGAATAACGAGGGAATTCCATACACCGTGAGGGCGCACGATGTCACCGTGTCATCTACGATGTGACTCGACTCCTTCAACTGCATGCAACGTCGGCAGCACAGCACGATTGTCCAGTGGAGAGAGGTCGACGTGGCCAGGTGTGGGTGAACTCAAGTTCTTTGGAGCGGACGGGGGAGGGGTAGCAAAGCCGTCTGGGGTATTTTAACGAGCGGAGGATGCGGCCACTACGCCCGTCTGCTCTTTACATCTTCATCTCGCATCGTCGGCGGATCTCTCACATCTTCATCTCGCATCGTCGGCGTGCGCGGGAGTGAGTTTTTTTTATGGGGGAGGCGGGGGGGGGCACAGAGGGATACTGTGCGCGGCGCGGCTTCGCGAGCGCGCACGAACATTTTGCTATCGGAATCTGCGCGCCAGAACTACGCGGACATGGTGATGATAATGATGATCGATTCCTCTCCCGGACGATTCTCTCTCGCCGACGATCAGTGTCGGCTTGCCGATTTAAGTTTGCGGAGGCAGCTCGGACAACCACGGGTTTTCCAGATCGTTGCGACTCCGTGTGCGTAGGATTTCAATGACCGAGGGTCTTCGACACTCCAGAGCTCCCGCTAATGGAGGCCCTTCCGCCAGCAGGGGCGTAAGCAAGGAATTGCAGGGTTGCACCTTTGCCTCGTCCAAACATAAACTACGTTCGGTATTCCTTTGAACCAGTCATACCAATTGCACATGTTGATCCGAAGCTGGAAAACCCGATGCGGATTTTGTTGCCATCTGGGAATGGAGTCACAAGTTTTGGGATTCTCGTTTTGTCGGTACGGGACGTTTATGGAACGTTTCAATTTGTTTGGGGTACGTCGTGTCTGCCTTTCCCCGCTCTCGAGTCGCCCCCTTTCCCTTTCTGCCAAGTGGCGCATTCCATATCACTGAAGCTCGGCGGCCAGTGGCCGTGCGTGTCAGAATGCCAGTCCGTGTTGCTCCGATCCGGTGCGCATTTTCACATCCACCATGAGTGAGCGTTTGATATTGGATGGTGTGGAAATCCGGAACGGAGTAAATGGGTGTGGCACACTGGACTTGGACCTCTATCTGCTGGCCAAAGGGTCAGACAAGAGTCCATGCCTTTTCATAAAAAAAATTAAATGTTTTTACTGATTGATGAAATGAATTCGACCGTACACCTCTGTATAGGCATTCGCGGTTGTGCGGTGCGGCTTTACGATGTGTTTACGGTTTGTACCGCGCGACATTCCGCACGATGTCTGACGTTTCATACCACGCGCTGGGAGCTTCTTCAGGAACATAGTGGTACAAACCAGAAAACGCATAAAATACGTAATATATAACCCAGTTTTGAAAAATACTCAAAAATAAAACTTTGATATTTAGCCTTTTTTTTACCCCAGTCAAAATGAAGACATGACATGGAATATATTTTATTTCAACAATTAAAAACTCATTCATTGTCCGATAACACCTTTCAATGTATAGAGGTCCTCAGAGCTTGGGCAATTATTGGAAGCACCAGCTCCTTACCGCCTGACTGTTGCTACTTTAGAGTTGAAGTTTTCGTGACTGCAAGGCTCCATACTCTTTAGTTTTTTCGGTAAAGTCACGTAGGAAAAAAATAATTAAATTAAATTAAATCACGACCTTTCGGAGGCAACACAAGCTTCCGTCTTCGGGTGGAACCGTCACAGCAAATGTACTGTATCACTTGATACAGTCTGTGGTTCCTCCTCGTGCCGGCGCCTCCGACTCGTCCCGTCTCTCTCCCTCGACGAGAGCGAGGGAGCGAACACCGTGCGGTGGCGGTGGCGGTGGCGTTACGAGTTGACATTATTTATAAATGCATTCAGGGCACAGTGGACGAGGTGGATACATGTTTTTATTATTATGATTATTATTATTTGCGTAAGTGGAATCTTTTCTCCTGCTTCTAAGTGAAACCTACCCCACTTAAAGTTGTTCCCGCTCGTGACGGCGCTCTGATCTATTAAACAACAACGAGAGACGGAATGGGAGCAGCAGCGGAGCGTGGCGCTGCACGGCGGCGGTGGTGGTGGCACCCCCAGGGGCACCGCTGATTGCGACGGGACGTGCGGCACTTCACCAAAAAAAAGGAACCTATGTATAATTGGGTTGTTCATATTCTTCGTGGGTTTTTTTAATGTCTTAATTTGAGAATTGTTATATAATGATGTTGACAATAAAGTACAGTCGGTGTAAACCTTGTTGTGTGTGCGAGAGACGTAGAGAATCCTGGTCTTGTTAATTCGATTTTTCTCCGTCTTTTTTTTTGTTCCGACCATTCTATTCCGATTGCGCTGTCGGCTGTCGTCGCGCCACTGGGTGGAGAATCGGCGCGGCGCCTCTCGCGGTGCATCACGCTCCGTGTCGGAGAACGTGTCACAGAACGTGTCGGAGAACGTGTCGGAGAATGTGTCACAGAACGTGTCACAGAACGTGTCGGAGAACGTGTCGGAGAACGTGTCGGAGAACGGCCCGTGGAATGGGATATCGCAGAGCTACTTCTGAGATCCCATCACGTGACCTCTTATACACACACTCGGGGGGGGGGGGGTGCTGCACAACCACGTGGCCCTGCTTCAGAGTTGTTTGTCACACGATAGTAAAAACCGAATTGTTTTAATTAAATTCTCAAAGCTGGTATATCAGACAGTGTTCATGATGCAAGTATTTGTTTGTGCAGTCATTGGTGACCCGGTTGGCACCATCAAGCCCCACTCGAACACTTGAGAACCTGGTTCAAATCATGACCCTTCAAGTTCAAGTTTATTTTGTGTAACCGGGTGAGAAGTCAAGCGACCCAGGATAGGGGCTCGTTAGCAGGGAGTGACTTCGGTCACCAAATTGATCGATGATCCAGCACTTGCAATTACTCCAGCCACTCGCTCACCAGTGATCAGTCATCTCCTTATCACTCTGCTATTGCTCCTACTGCGATGGTCACCGTTCCCGTGACCGTCACTGGTTGATGTCGCCACCCATGTTGGTTCTACCGGACGAGGACTGTCTCATCCACAGTGTTCAACCACGACACTGTCAGTCACAACAACACACCCCACCCTACACACCCACCCTACACACCCACCCTACACACCCACCCTACACACCCACCCTACACACCCACCCTGCACACGCACCCTACACACCCACCCTACACACCCACCCTACACACCCACCCTACACACCCCACCCTACACACCCACCCTACACACCCACCCTACACACCCACCCATCCATCGTGCCGCTCACTCGTTCACCGACTCACCCACCCACCAACCCCCTAATTTGCCAACTCACCCATCACTTACCCACACACCCACTGACTCATTCACTCACCCACCCACCCACCCACCAACCCCCTAATCTGCCAACTCACCCATCACTCACCCACACACCCACTGACTCATTCACTCACCCACCCACCCACCCACCAACCCCCTAATCTGCCAACTCACCCATCACTCACCCACACACCCACTGACTCACTCACTCACCCACCCACCAACCCCCTAATCTGCCAACTCACCCATCACTCACCCACTCACCCACTGACTCACTCACCCACCCACCCACCAACCCCCTAATCTGCCAACTCACCCATCACTCACTCACCCACTCACTCACCCACCCACCCACCCACCAAACTGCAGGTCGCAATTCTATTCTGCCTCTCCCCTCCCACTGCGCGACTGATGGAATCTCCGTCGTCCGCAGGCGTCGACCAACGTTACCCATGATAGAGGTTTGTGGGTGAGATCGCAAAAATAGAAATGCGTCGTTAAACCCGCCACCACCCGACATAGCCGATTAGTAAGGTTGTCACGTAAACACGCATGCCAATTAGTAACTACAGCACACCGGGTGTGTGTCGGAGAGTATAAACCCGCAGCATTTACAATTCGAGGACGACGTTCTGCCGGTAATTACAACGAGCATCGCCAGGCGACAGCCACAGTTGTAAACGTCTCCCATCATCTCTCTACCGCCAAGCTCTTGTAACGTTACATTTGCTCAATTCCAGAAAGGTCGTATACACCACCCGTGTACACCGCTCGTGTACACCACTCGTGCACACCACTCTCATCTATCGCTGGCCGCTTGGCGTTTTTGGGCACCGGTGATAAAATAAAACAAATCCAATTTGGCTCGAACCCAGATGCGAACCCAGATGCGAACCCAGATGCGAACCCAGATGCGAACCGAGGGTCTCAGCGGCTGCTGGTTCAGGGCCCCGTGGCTTCCGAGCTCATGGACTTGAAGGTGGACCTACAGCGCCCTCTGCCGCCATTATCTTTATTGTGACGATTCGGCTTCTTTACCCAAGGAAAGCCTCGCTCGCCGAGGTCTCGCGACTCGTTCTCAGGAGGGTCTTGCCCAGTTTTGGCAGTAAGGAAGGGGGGGGGGGGGGGTAGTCGTGATCTCGATATTGACACCGAGGTTTTCGCGACCGACGTGAGGGTTCGTAAATGTGTCTCTTGCGTGGAGGATTCCCTGGCATGTGAAAGTAAACAAATCAATTGGCGTATCGACCCATCACGCGACAACTTGGTTTGATTGGCTCTGTCGGGTGGTGGAGGGTTCGGATAAAACATGTACATTCTACCTACACCGTGATCTAACCCAAAGGTAGCTCTGAATGACTGCGATGTAGATTTCTACGGACAAATTTGCGGTGTAATTTTTAAAATTTGGGAACGGCAGTGATGACTCGTCGATCCATCAATGATTAAATGGATTCGTGGATTGAATCATTTACGCGGCAATCCATTTCTATGCTTTTGTTGTTCACGCGGTTGCTGATCACATGCCAAAAGTGGCCAGCAACAAACAGCACTTTTAAACCTTCTTGGTTCTTTCGGTAAAGTCACGTAGAAGGGAAATAATAAATTAATAAAAATAAAACATAATAAAATACAATTCTCACGACGTTTCGGCCACAACGGCAAGCAGCCGTCCTCAGGTGAAGAACAGGTCTGTCGGAAAGACAGCGTCTGAAATTCAAGTTGTGTGATAAAGAGGGAACGTGTCCCTTGAAATCGAGCGCAGAGTGAGTGACCACGGAAGAGAATTCCCAAGTGGAAGCAGTGCGAGGGGAGCAGCGGAGTGCGGTGAGTCGGTGGGTGGGTGGGTGAGTCGGTGGGTGGGTGGGTGGGTGGTTGGGTGGGTGGGTGGGTGAGTGGTTGGGTGGGTGGGTGAGTGGTTGGGTGGGTGGGGGAGTCGGTGGGTGGGTGGGTGAGTGGGTGGGTGGGTGGGTGGGTGGGTGGTTGGGTGGGTGGGTGGGTGAGTGGTTGGGTGGGTGGGTGAGTGGTTGGGTGGGTGGGGGAGTCGGTGGGTGGGTAGGTGAGTCGGTGGGTGGGTGAGTCGGTGGGTGGGTGAGTGGTTGGGTGGGTGGGTGAGTGGTTGGGTGGGTGGGGGAGTCGGTGGGTGGGTGGGTGAGTCGGTGGGTGGGTGAGTCGGTGGGTGGGTGAGTCGGTGGGTGGGTGGGTGAGTGGTTGGGTGGGTGGGTGAGTGGTTGGGTGGGTGGGGGAGTCGGTGGGTGGGTGAGTCGGTGGGTGAGTGGTTGGGTGGGTGGGTGGGTGAGTGGTTGGGTGGGTGGGGGAGTCGGTGGGTGGGTGAGTCGGTGGGTGGGTGAGTGGTTGGGTGGGTAAGTGAATGATGCGAGTGGGTGAGCGTGTTATTGTGACCTGCAGTGTCGTGGTGGTGGTGGTTGAACATTGTGGATGAGACGAAGCGCAGTGGAGGAGCGACGGACGACGGTCAGGAACAATAACAACGGAAGCGGCAGCGAAGGAATTGGCACGGCGTCCGAGTGGACGTCCACCTGGGAGATGGAGCAATGGAATCGGCTTGGGTACGGGCGCCGGATGGTTCGTGGCATCGCAAGATTGCGAGAGGTGGCGGCGACGTGGGGAGGCCTTCGTCCAGCAGTGGATTGACCATGGCCGACGACGACGACGATTAACCGTGGCGGCCACCGCTCTCGAACCGCGAGCCTCTGCGACAAGCAGCAGACGCGTGCTGGAGGGCGTCACAACTTGACCCAGAACTTGACGGCCACCACCGCGAGTCCGGCGAGCAGCGCCAGCGCGGCGAGCGTGGCGAGGGTCAGCGCGGCGCAGCGCAGCGAGCGCCAGCGCCGCTCCTGCTGCTCCTTGCGCCTCAGCAGGGCCTCGTAGCCCGGCGTGGTCACGTCCTCCAGCCAGAACTCCAGACGCTCCGGCTGCGACGCTCGCAGCGCGCGCTGCGGGGGGGGGGGGGGGGGCACGGTATGGTTAAAGAATGGGCACTGCATGGGTACAGCATGGGCGCTGCATGGGGTACAGCATGGGTGCTGCATGGGGTACAGCATGGGTACAGCATGGCATTGTTGCGAGCAGCAACAACAATAGCAGCATGGCCATCGTCAACAGCGCCGCACTTGGCATTCAGGGCTGCGTTTCAGCCCGACTGGCTCTGTTCTCCTGGTCACTTGACCTGGAAAATGTATTTTTTGATCTCGCATCTAGTGCGCCTGTGGCTAGGGCTGTGGCCACGTGGCGCGCTGACCCCGAATGGAGAAACGACCCCGGAGTGACCCCCCCCCCACTCCCCACCGCCGGTCACCTGCATCCCCACGCGACCCCGGAGTGACCCCTCCCCCCACCGCCGGTCACCTGCATCCCCACGCGACCCCGGAGTGACCCCTCCCCCCACCGTTGGTCACCTGCATCCCCACGCGACCCCGGAGTGACCCCCCCCCCCCACCGTCGGTCACCTGCATCGCAGGTGTGGGTCGAGCCCCGGGGGCCACGGCCCTGCGGCTGAACTCCTCCAGGGTCCACGCGGCCTGGCTGCGGGGGGGCACGCGGGCGAGGGGGGACAGCGCATCCACCGCGGCGTGGGGGGCCGTGGCCCCCCCGCTCGCGGCGTCCGCGCGGTACAGCGGGTTCCTCTTGAGGGGAGGCGCGTGCACTCCGGGGCAGTGCTGCTGCTGGTGCTGGTGGTGGTCGTGGGGACCTGGTGAGCGAACGCAGGAGCAGCAGACACGTGGCCAGGGTGGTGGTCACCGCAATGTTCGTCGGGCTCCTTTCGCTCCGTCCGTAGCCGCCAGTCGCGATAATCGGAGGTGCGAAGGACGACAAATCAAACACAAAGGCAGCTTTGGAGAAGCGACTTTGTCGATCTCGACGATTTAAATGTGCATAGCTCCCAATGGCTGCCTAATAGCGCAAGGAAGAGGGTTCCAGACGGCCACAGAAGCGCATCCGACAGCGCTCACGAGCGAGCGAGTGAGCGAGCGCCTTTGTTCGATGGCCAGCAG